GAGGGTTTGGGGCTGCATGGAGCCACAGGAACTAATCCCTTAGATCTGACACCGTGATTAGTAGATGTAAGGAGAGTGAGCATATTGTAAAACTATAAAATAGTGCCTTTAAAGGTTTCATTGCCGGTATTGTATGGAGCCAGCTGTTTCTGAGTCATAGGAGTCACTTATTAAAAAGAACGTGTTGTTCCAGTCATACATGACCTTCTGGAGAATCTAATACCGTAGTTTGACGTTTTCTAGCGTATGTAGATTTCAGTTCCTACATGAGACTAGCTTTCTCTGCTTTGAGTGTCGTTTTACTAATACATGTACTTAATCATCAACCAGTTTGAAGATATGGGAGAAGGAAGGGTGTATCTATTTATTATTACACATGTGTAATGTACATAATGATGAGCTCCAATTGTTTGTTAATACATGTACATGTAGCTTCATTTCTGTAAGTGAATATTGTTGGTTGTCTATTAATCATTTGTTTGTATCGACTGCTAATTATTCATCTTTCTCTTCTTCTCTCTCTGTCTGTCTCTCTTTTCTTATAGTGTGATGTCAAGAACTTGGAGATCACATCATGAAATTGACGGGCCAGTCAAAAAGACATACATGTAGCAGTTGCTACTGAAAGATAGAATCAATCAAAGATTTGATCTTACTGTAAGTTATACAGTGTGGAACCTAGCATTTATTGTACATAGAATGAGGACATTTAAAAAGAATTAGGACATTTTGTAATATCCCAAGTCCCCAAACCTTAACTGACGTTACCATATAAAGTAGCTATAGTGTCTACCAGTACATGTACATGTACTTCTGACGTTATATGTACTTTTACATGTACTTGTAATACAACTAATGAATATGATTATAAGTACAACCCATGATAGACTTATACCAATTTATGCTAATATTTTATAGACACAGCTGTAGTGTTTTGTCTTATATTGAAGTTGCCTTGCTCTATTTGTAATAGTTGAGACTACACATACACAATTGATACTCATATATGATTATGAAATTCTCTCTTTTTTAGTCTCTGTTGTCAGTAGGGCAGAATGAGAACTGTGACATTACAGTAGGAGGTTGCTGGTATGTGGTGTTTGAACCAGAAGATGATACTTCTCTTCCTCCTGCTTGTACTGGACCCTCTCCTCTCTATACAACCAGCCACTCCCTTTACTATAGTTTGTTGTATTTTATCAAAATTTTTATTTTGATTTAGCAAAATTAGTCATTTTTTATTGTCACATTATTATTTGTATATGTTTTGCAATGCTCCTTCATTGTAAACTGCTAAGCTGCTACATTAATCTTTGCAGTCACCTATTAATTTGGTTATTAGTAATTTTATTTAAAGCTGATTATTTATT